AAGAAAATTAGAGCATGACTATGATTTCCTGCAAGCTACATTGTGACCTCTTTGTGTGATGTAATCTTATTCATAATGTATACGCCAGTGTGTGTGTGTGTGTGTGTGTGTGTGTGTGAAACAATGTGTAGTATTGCCTTTTCAAATATGTCAGTTCACTGAAATGATAAAGATGATTTTCTTTACCTGCCATGCAGATAGTTCTGGCTGCAGGTTTTAGATATCTGTCTCTAACTTTTCTGCCACCATCCTGGTACAAAGGAAGTGAACGGGCTGTGATGCTTACAGCATTGAAAATAAGCAGTAACGTCTCTCTACAGAGACAGTGTCCCAGATACTCTGAATAACCCGCAGACCAAACTGTGAACATTACAGCTGATTCAAATAGTACTTAACAGAAAAGAGAGAGGTTAAGTGTGTTGGTGTGCCCATTTCAGTTTCACTGGGGAAGTTGCATATTTTGTTCAGCTGATATTGAAAGGCTCTGATAAGGCAGTAGATTAAATTCCAACCAAGTAGCTTAAGATCAGGTCTCTCTTGATTCCTAGCAGCCCCCCGACCGGAACAGCATGTCTGTGAAGGAATATTTTTCTTTGGGAAAGAAGAGGGAAATAACACTGTAAAGACATCTTAGGATTTTTTTTTCCCCTAATGAGCTGCAGGGTTTCATTTCTGGCCACATCTATAGTGTGCTAAGTACAAGGCTAAAGTCAGTGGGGAAAAAACATCACTAAGTACTAAACTGTTAATTAAATGGTGTGAGTTTGTGTCACACATTGTAGGACGAACAACACATTTTAAAAAAGCTGTTTTGAATTTAGTTCTAAGGAAAGAGTGATTGTGAAACCTGGCAACGATACATTTCACACTTGCGGAAACACAAAACTATAAAACAATGGCACCTGTCTGCCCACTCTGTGACTGTCATGAAAAACAACCCACCCACCGTCTCGATCAACCTGCATAGCAGCATCCAGGCGCGGCACTCCAGACTAACAGGGGGTGGAATCTGAAATGACAGGGGGTGGGGGCTCAGGTTGAAGTGTCTCTACCTGCTTGCCTGTGTGACACAGAGACCCAGAGGAGGCTCGACACAACTCTGCTCCAACAGCACTGACACAGCTGACCTGAACAGGTGAGAACACAATATGGTGCAAAGAATGGACTTCACACAAGTTCTGATTTCATGCTCACTGGCTATGCGGGGGTAAGGGCTCATTATAGAGTCAGAATTGCTTTCATTTTCTATGCATAATGGATTTGACCTGGTTAATTGGAGCTGGCACATCTCCAGTGAGATTCATCATAGGAGATTAAAGCACTAAGTGCAGGTCAAAGTGTTAATAGGAGCTCAAAGAGAATACAGACAAGATGCACAATGTGACAGGACATGAAACTGTAAACACAGGGCGGGTTAAGATCCTGAGCCGATAACGAATATGAAGTCTAATATGTGGAGGAACATTTATTGCCTAACTGTGTCAGCATGACATTGTTTACCTCAGGATGCTATTTGTTTCAACAGATTTCATCTTAGCATAAAATGTGGTGAGCAATAACACAGACGCCCAGAGTGGGTAGTATTGTAACAAATAATAAATACTTCAATGTCATTTTTACATTCTGTGTCACCTGTGTCATGCAGAATGCAGTGTGATGGGTTGTGTTTGAGATTCTGGGTCATTAAACAGGTCTGAAGTCAGTGGAGAGAATTTGGGAAGAGAAAAAAAGACACAAAGCAGATACAGCATATCACAGTTTGATACACAGTGATTGATGTTTATGTTTATGGGAGTTTAAAAAACATTTCTTAATTGTGTCTTTAATTTAATCAGGTTGAAAATCTGAGAGAAAATCAACATCATGTCGAAAGGTGAGTCACACTGATCCAATATTTCATCTTTTTATAAAATTAAAAAAACAGTATGCAGGCATTCTTGATACACAGAGCTGACAGAAAGAGTGTGTGTGTGTGTTGTAGATGTTAACAGATACAAGGTGTTTCAAACCACCAGGGTGCGGAAGGCACTGAAGAATGATGGCTGCTGGATCCATAAATCAAAAGAGGAGGAGGAAGAGCAGGACAAAGCAAGGTATTACCAGTAATGAAGATTCAACATTAGACATGAAGTGCAAAATTAAAGAAGTAAAATTGTTAGAAATCTGAATCTGATGCTATCTTGCTCAGGGCGTCTATAGCTCAGACACTAATGCTGTTTGATTAAGACCATCACAAGATATTTTTATATCAAATTTAAGACAAATCCTCTTTTTCTTATTCAATCATTGAAGGGAAGTATAAAGGAAAGTAGTACATTTAGTCCTGTGCAGACGTAGGTTGTATGTAGAGATATGGTTTTAGTGTAATTAAGATTAATTGACATTTTGCCAACAGGTAAGTGCAAGCCTAATGTAAAAACACAGTGAGATTCAGTGGTAGGCAGTGGTGCCCCCAGAAGTTTCTCATGGGCGTGGCCAGATGGGGCCCCTGAAAATCCAGTTCTGTGGCTGGTTCGGATGAGTTTCTATTCACTGCACATAGAATTCCACAACACAGGCGCAGAATTATCTCACAAGATCAACACTGAACAAGATTTTCTACTCTTTCATGAAGGCTAGCCTAAAACAAAGGGTTGTGGGCTGGGCTCATCAGGAGGTCTGAGTGACAGCAAAGACGAATAAACTCTGGAAACCCTGGACAGGCTAATTAATAATACAGTCTGATTCTGTCTGCCTAAATCCCTTCAGCATCTCTACTATTGCAATATCTCTGTCTGCATTGGGGCGCCTGATTAATTCAATTGTAATCTGATAATCTAATTAATTTACATGTCAGTTCAAGAAAGCTTTTCAAAGTCTTCTTGGATGAGTAGCTCAAACAATTACACACAGGGATCTGTTAATCAATGTGAAATAGTTTATCTCAGCACAGAGCAACTGTCAGCAGGAACTATATGGTACACCATTTTTCTTCTACAGAAACAAAACCAAAAGCCATAACTGAATTTCAGGAATTTGATTAGTTGTAGTGTATAAGTTAGTTGAAAAACTACGTCAATAAGAGAGTTATGGAATCACATACTGATGTACTCTGATACCTTATCTTATAGTTACTACACTAATTATCTGATGTGCATAGACTAATACCAGTATGGGTCCCCATTGAACCCATTTTCATTCAGATACCTTGAGGTTGAAGATCAGAGGGTACCATTTAAAAAATCAACATGCCAGTGTTTAGCCTACCTTTGGAGCTGTATTTAGTCACCTTCCCAATAAGCTACTCTGACATGACACCAATGGGTGCATTCAGTTGTCTAGTTTCACAGGATGCCAAAATCTTCAGGCTAGCTTAAAAATTGAGCGCACCACATCCTGTTAAAGACAGTTATGTCACCCTCCATTTATTTTTTGCAAGGTGGGGCCACTGGGAGGGCGGCAATCGTATCAGAGGGGGTCATGAAAACATTTGTAATATCAGAAATGTGGACTGTAACACAGAGAGCTTGACTGATTTGACAAAAAAAATACATTGAATTTAAATTTAAGACAATTTAATGACTTTTAAAACATATTTTATAAAATTGAATTTAAGGCATTTTAAGAGTTTCTAAGGACCAGCAGATGCCCTGCTTGCTTTGCTGCATTCTACTGATGTGATTTAGTGTAGCAAGACACTGGTACTCTAAGTTCAGGTCCTCTTTAGTTTGGCTTAGTTTTCTAATAGTCCTACATCACAAGCACTGCGTTTCTGAAGGACAAAAATTGGGCATCAACAATGCTGTAAATTCACAACAACTTGTCTCTTGCAGGACAGACCCTGATGTGGAGACCAAGCCCGCTTCGGTCAGACAGAATTCATACGTCCTGTCTACAGCCAAGAAATTTGAGTAAGTACAGTCTCCACTGTAGTTAAGAACAGACCTGTACACTCTGCTTAAGTGAGTACAATAACTATAATGAAAGCAGTAAAACCACTTACAGTATACGCTGACAAAACTGCAATACCAAGGTTTGGCCAGCAGATGCTGCCATTTTTTTTTTTTACAATGCCCCAAAAACAGTGAATCATTTTTTAACAGAAGTGTTTCATGGTGATTTAACGCTTTGGAAAGCTTTGTTTTTAACATCACTAGTAAATGTATGAGAGCTGATGATCTAAGAATCAAATGTGTCAGTTTTTAATAGATGCAAACAAATAACCTTATTTTCAGGTTAAAAAAAAACACCAGTTGCTGAGAGATCCATTTTGATACGAACAGTGCGATGGCAGTTCTGCAAGTCAAACTAAAATGCTCCTTTGACTCTGTTGTGTCAGTGAATAAAATTAAAGTATAAAAGCTTCAGGCAGGAATCTCCATCTGTGATATTAACATACATAAACATTAACTTAACCCCGGGCAGCTCTGCTGCATCCATAAAGACCTACAGTGCACTGTAGGCTGACTTGTGCCTCAGCTGCTTGATGAAGCATTGATCTGCATACAGTTCTTGAGTATTTCCCCTTAAGGCACACGGGAACAAACAACTGCTTTAACACTGGGCATATTTGCCCTTTAATACCAAATGGTCCTTTCAGCTTCCTAATTAACATTATAAAAATATAAATCCCCAATTTGAGCTTTGAAAGTATTTTACCAGCCTCAATTTTTAGAGCGTTAAATACTAATCTCTGTTTTGCTCATCATTTTCTGTAACATGGTATTCAATATTCATGTAGTCATATTCAGAGTCATCTACTTTATGTTTAAATAGACAGTAAAGATGCTCTGAAACATTCAGTGTCTGTTTACATAGCAATCATAATTATTTATACATGCAGTGGTGTTCCCCGCCTGTGTATTGTTGCCAGCTGTACCTATTGCATTGACGTTACATCACCTGACTTGAACACGTACATGACACATGCACACGTGCACGTGCACACACGCACACGCACACACACTCTACACTCGCTTTAGTGAATTATTAAGCATATGGACACATTTGTGCTGCAAAAATATTTCAAAAATACATTTATTCTGTTTTTTTCTCCCTGAGATCACATTGAAAGGTTCATGCTTCTGTGATTGGACATTACATATCTAAACACATTAATGTCTCAACTTTACTCATTAGCTCTGTGTTATATTTAGACAATATAATAATTTTTGTAAATACATAAAAGGCCAAGTAAATTGAAAATACTAAAGCAAATGAACAATACAATTCACAACTGAACTGAGACATTATCATTTCCGTTGTTACCTTTCTGTTCTCACAGTTTGTTTCATCGCAGGCTTGAACATCACAAAAAAAAAATCACTTTGGGACAAGTTTTATGCGTACATCTGTTTTTTCCAAATCATCTGCATGGAACCTTGACCATGATAAATTCGTAATATCTTACTACATTTTCACAATGTACTAGCTCCTGTAATTATGAAGTCTCAAACAAGATTACACTTGACAGTGAGGCTAAGGTATCAATCTGTCCTTTTGTCTTAGAGCAGTGAGGTGAATCTGTTCTCATGCTTTCGTGTTAGCTGAATACACTTTAAACAATTAAACCCCCCACTGTGGGAACTACTGTGGTGCAGCATTCAAACATTTTTACTCAATTACTAAATCTGAGCACAACGTTGACAAGTAATTGATATGAACACACCCCTTTCTTCTGGTGAGCTGACAATCAGAGCACTCTGCAAGGAGGCTGGGGGAGGTGTTGCATGATACTCAAGTATTTCAAATGACAGAGCCAGCTAGCCAGGTTTTGTTAAATGATGCAGTCAGTCTCTTTCCTCAAAGGTAATGATGGCTGACGGACAGTCTTGGGCAGCTGGGAGTTAGGAGGAGGGTCCAGCTGTGGTGAGGTCTCCTACAGTGTGCATCACCTGTGCTGATGTGGACAAGGAGGGTCCAGCTGCTGGGCCCATGCTGTGTGATGGCATTAAATGACCCTCGTTGATGGCAAAGTGGTTTGGCGGGTAGATGCCACATTTCCTAAAGCCTTCCTTCACAATCCTGACACCCTCCTCCTCCTTCACTACGTGATATGTCCCTTTAAACACACCTGAGAACTCCTTCTTGCTGACCGAAAAGTGAGTATCAGTGGCACAACCATCACCTATGAGTGCTGCAAAACGCTGCTTCAGGAGAACAAAGACACCCGCGTCGAGTGGCTGCAGGATGTGAGAGCAATGAGGTGGGAGGCACAGGAGGATGACTTCCTCTTTACGAGCTGCTTCCACCACCTCAAGGTTCACGGGAAACTTGTGGCCGTCAAAAATAAGCAGCAGCGGACGCTCCTTTGGTGCATGCAGGAGGAAGTGTTTGAGGAACCATTTCTTGAAAAGGTCCGAGTTGATACACCCAGAGTCTGACCATCCATAGAGGGCATTTGGAGGCCCTTGAGTCTTGTAACATACCCCCCCTGGGTATGCCTTTGAATAGATAATAAATGGAGGAATGTCCTCTCCAGCTGCACTGAAGCAAGCCAGGACAGAGATATGGTCCCTCGAGCCTGGCATTGGCTTATAGCCCAGACTGGCAGATTTGGGGAGAATCACCCTCTTCCTGCCAAGCTGAAAGCCCGTCTCATTGCAGTTGAAGATTTGATGAGGCCTGTCTCTGAGCCCATGAGCGTCCACGACAGTGCTCAGTAAATGAAAAAACTGATCCACTGCTTCCTTTCTCACACATACCGTCCTCCCACGGACAACATTGTCTGCTGGCTGAATGGTAATATTCTTTTCTTGCCTTTTTCTAAAATTGAGCCACCAGGTCTGACCTAGTTTAGAAAACGCAACCCTCCGATGCTGCCGCTTATAAATGGATGAGGCAAAGGACACCAGCTGTTGCTTGGTCAGTGGGAATCCATGCTTGGACATGTATATAGAGAATTCCACCAACAGCTCCTCGTCGGCAGATGTTATAAGCTGAGCTGGCCCACTGCGACTCCCTGGTGTCACCCTTCCACTGACTCTGTCCCCCAGTGAGGATTTAGGGACCCCAAACTCTTTGGCAGCCTGTCTCACCGTACACCTTCCTGACTTCACCTCGATCAGTGCGCGTTCCATGGCCTCCTCTGTCCATTTCTTTTTCTTCTTCCTCCCGATTTTGTCAAGATGATTTCTTGATGGCATCTTTTCTAGGGTGGCACAGGGAATGAAGGCATAAGCAACACATTAAACAACTATGATACACAATCAACCTAATTATGACAATGTTATGAACACTGGATTAAAGAGCACCTTCAATGCTCCCCATCCTCCTGTGTCTGCACTTTCACCTTATTAACAATGAACCACAGACAGCACAGTCTTTTACCTGACCGGTAAAGGGATTACATAATGTCCTTTAGTTTAGTTTACAAGGTGACTGTCCTGTTGTTGCTTACAAGTGCATTGCTCAAGAACCAGAGCAACAGAATCTGCTGCATCCAACAATCACGTTCACGGCTTAGATGGATGCACAGGACTGAGATTGGGGTCTGACTCACTAAGGGGAATTTAAATGACATGTAAGGGACAATATTCCTCAACTTATTTTCTGTCGTAACACCACTTAAAAGTTATTCTAATTCTAGCTCCTTTCTTGTATCTCAAGTTACTTACGGGGCTGTAAACAATGACCATTACATGGCAGAGAAAGTCTTGGATGAAATATTGGCCCACAGGCTAAATTGTCATCAGACTAATAGCTGATGGGTTCAGAGATTGTTCAATGATTGACTCAAGATCTATAACCAGCTTCTAATCGTTGAACAGACAGAAATACTTAAGATTTAGTGATGAAACTAGTGGCAACCTGTGGCTACAACCTGAAAGTGAGACAAGTGACGATGTTGGGTGTGGACAAGGATATTGCTTGCTCTATCCACTGAGCAACTGGGTGCCCCTGTATACCTTATATTTCATGAGTAACTTGTTTCATGTAATGGAGTTCCTGTTTCAGAACTATTAAGTTGATACAAAACAATATTGAATATAAAAGATAGATATTTGCGTGGAACTTTAACTCGGAGAGTCATTAAGAGCTTAAAAACCACCGTACACCCTCTTTTGATAAACCTATAGTCAACTTATAATTTATAACATTGATCACTGTGCTACTCTTTGTCCATCCAGAATGCACAACCAGCTCGAGATAAAAAAGAAAACTACTTAAATCAGTTTTACATTATGTTTTATGTTTTACATCAATAAAACATTTATTCTATTTGCAAAAAAAAAAAAAGACAAAACTAATTTCTGATGCACTCTCTTCACACAGAACACATAAGTTAAGGTCTGGATTTAAAATACCTGCAATGCTAAGTAATTTAATTTAAATTTAATTTTATCCATTAAAACAAACAATTAGATTGCACCGTTTTCACCTCACACACTGGACCTGTTTGGGTTTTAAAATGTCTTTGAACTAGTCCAGGGTGACCTGAATTTTAGTCCAGGCTTGGACAGAGACAAGTAGAATACTTCCATTTGATTAGACACTAACATAATACTGTATTTGTACTTTGTGTCACAGTCAAAGCTCTACTTATACGTAGGGAAAGCGGACTTACTGGTGTTGGGGAGTCGTCGTCGTGCTAGTGTTGAGTGTGGACAGAAGACGTCTCGTCCTGTGTTGGCTGTGACGTCGCTCACCGTAACGTTACTGTTTATAAACTACAGTCATTTGAAGCCGGGTGCCATCTGAGGCGATATTACGCTTAAAAACACACGCTACGTTGCAGTGTTTGTTCTACAGTCGCCGCTACACGTCTGTCAGGTGCAGAAAGTTTAAATTACGCGGTTACATTTCACCGGAGTTCCACATTTCCCTGCTTAATATGAAGCTGCTAGCTAGCTACATCAGAAAACAGCAGTAAACAGTGGAACCAAACCGGAAGTTATGTGACGGTGTCTTCAAAATAAAACTACTACTTCCGGTTACAAAATAAGTGTCCAACTGTATGCTCAGATAAAAGCAATGAATTGTATCACAGTGCTTATATTATATGAAACTATTCCTGTGCAACAGCTGATTAAGCAAAGCAGTCAAACTTAGAATTATTGAGACTGAAGTTTTCACAAAAATATTATTCTATATCATTCCAAAATGGCTGTACTTTTCCTTTTGGTTGGTTTTGGATATTTTTAGTGGTAAATAATAATGATAATAATAATAATAATAATAATAATAATAATAATAATAAACTTTATTTATATAGCAACTTATACAGGGAGGTGAAGCTCAAAGTGCTTTACAACAAAATAAAAACAGACAAATACAGTTAAAACAAAAAAACAAGTGCAAATCCTGCACAATGAGCAATGGTCGGGGCCGGGCAATTTTAGGCAAAATTAGGCAATTCTGAGCAACACACACACTAAAACAAAGCATATCACAACATAGAAGTTACATCATATAATTATGGTATGCCCTTCAAATTGTGGATGAGTGGCTGAAGTGATCAGACTCATAATATACAAAGGAAAGAAAAAACTCAAGAACAAGAAAGTAAGAATAACATTAACTGCTAGCAATTATGAACAAACTGGTCTGATCTAGCTTAAAGCTAAACATTAGCCATGGTGACAAAGATGAAAACATTTTTTAAAATGTAAAAGTAGCTATTGGATAGACTCTGCATATTGACTGATAGCTAAGCCAAATAAACAGGGAAAAGAGACAAGGGGTAACAGGGAAAAGTGTTGATAAAGAGTATTTGTCTCTCTGCAAAACTGCCTGGATCATAATTATTTTAACCTCTCTAATCCACATAGCATGATGCCTGTGTGCAAGACAGCAGCTGTTAGTGTGTAAAGGCAGATTACAAACAGCTGTCAAAAATCCAGTTATTAAAGGACAACTTTGGTATTTTTCAACCTGGGCTCTATTTCCCCATGTGTATGTGTGCGTATGATTCATAGGTACAACTCTTTCTAAAATTGGTTCAGTATTGAGCTGCGAAACGAGCTAAAACGGTAATGGGGGCAAATGCTTCCTGTTTAAAAGTGCTTTTTTTCGCCACTGACCGGTTCAGATCGCCAGTGGTATCTCTGTAGATAGCATATTGTAGTGGCCCTGGGGCAGTGGTGATTGTGAATGAGTGGAGTCAGCTGTCAGTCAATGTTGGAGCAGAGAGGGGGAGGGCTGCCCCGCTTGGTAATGTAAATGAGTATGTGTGTGTGAAGTGTGTGTTACGCTAGAAGAGTCAGAGGACGGAGTCTTTTACGTGCTACCCCCTGGAGTGTTACCAGAGTTTTTGGAGTGCTCAAATAAACAGGCCT